CTGTTCATAATTCTTGAATTGAAGTTATATTTCTTAACAATACCCTTAAGAGTTAGTTGGGTTTTTTTGACACAATAATTCCATTTCAGATTGCAAATAAAATTCCTTTATTTGGGAAAATACATCCCATTCATTTTATATGTATATATTCAGAAAAAATAAAACTTAAATTCCTGGTTTTATTAAAGTAAAAGGTGATCATCAACAGTCATGCTGATTTGGCTAATATTCATTTCAAATAATACCCATACGTGGCATAAATCCATAATAAAAACAACTTGATCATTGACTCAAATGTTAGAGTATATAAACTATTAGTTCCCCAATTATTTTCAGTGGCATTACTCAAAGTCATCTCAGAATTACTGCAAGATTGTTTTGAGATTAGGAACGCATCTTTAAGGTTATCCTCCATATGACATAGGACTTCAGAGATGACACAGTCCAAAAATGTCGTAAGCGGACACAGAATGCTGCCCCAAGAAAAATAAGCAGAGAATTAAAACTTTTAGCTTATACAACTATAATCTTTTTAAGATTTAAAAGTTAAAATTAAAGAGCCACACTGTACTTCACAATCCGGCAACCATGAAGGTAGTAAAAAGAACCCAAGGCAATATATCTTAACAATACTACCACCACCAACAACATGGTTAAAAACACTCCAAATGGTGAAAAATTTAACCACCAATTTTTGTGGAACTTGCCAATCCCCAGAAAGGTGTTAAATAGATCTAATGATTTAATCTGGAAAGTGGGATTTGCTGTTTTTTTTTTTTTTAGCACTGCTTAAAATGTGCATATTTCACAGTAAATTCTTTTCTTTAAAAGATCTATTTAATAAACAATGAAAGCACTCCTTTTGATATGATTTGTGGGAATAACGAAACCACCTGACTACATTTGTACTTACACCAATAGCAAATGACCTGAAAAGATTAAGGCAAGGTCCAATATGAACTCAGCAAGTAATGAGGGTAATAATAAATTAACAAGAAATATCAATTTGGGGCCGAGCCTGTGGCGCACTCGGGAGAGTGCGGCGCTGGGAGCGCAGCAGCGCTCCCGCCGCGGGTTCGGATCCTATATAGGGATGACCGGTGCGCTCACAGCGCTCACTGGCTGAGCACAGTGCGGCCAGTCTCAAACAGGACAAAAAAAAAAAGAAATATCAATTTGAACAGGAAAACAAAACAGGAGGCACCAGGACCAGGTCCTGATAGATGCCAATCACCACTGACAGCTAGTGAACTAGGGCAGGCAGAAAACCAGAATGAATATGATAAATGTTGCTGCAAGCTTTCAACCAAGCATCATTCTTAGTGTTAAGGCCAGGCCTAATGCCAGAATGAAAACTTCTCTAGGAAGTTATAAATTTTCATAGATGCAGGATCACAGCTGCTCTGATATTAGCCTTTCAAACATCTGCCAAGGAGAGCAAATCAGAAATGAGAAACTTAATTAGCTCTTGGGGGAGAAAAAAATCGCTCAACTTGAAGAGCAACTAGGACCTTTCCGAAAGGTCAGTGCGGCATTAGCAACTGTAAGATAAGCTTCACACCTTGTTAAAGCGGGTATGAATTTCCCTCTTGGCAGCCACGCCTGGGAAACAAACTTAAAGCAACATCCCTTAACAGCTGGAGCAAAGGAAAAGACTAAAGGCAAGCAGTGACAGGACTATCACAGCAAACCTCTACTTTTCAAGGAATGTGTAGTTCCTTTTCCCAAGTGGTATTCACCAATAATATAAGAATAGTAATCCACACAACACAGTAGCCTTTTCTTCTACTTATATGACTTTCAATGTTTATGTGTAGGAATCACAGGCATTCATATTGTTTGAAGATTCAAGGACACACCAATTACCGCCTGATGTGAAATTAGGTGGCAAATCTCTTAGGATGGTAGCCAAACCTATTTAAAATTGACAACCACCAATTTCATGAATACTTTTAAAAAATGCCTTTGTTGTTTTGTGTTTTTTGGCGGCTGGTACAGGGATCCAAACCCTTGACCTTGGTGTTACAACACCGTACTCTAAACAGCTGAGCTAACCAGCCAGCCCACTAAAAAATGCCTACTTTAAAACCAAAAATAACCCAGAGAATTAAATACTACAGTCCAAAATGAAGATCAATTATATTAATTAACTGTTGTTAACCAATCCAATCAATCACGTTCAGATTATGTGCAGTCCTTCAAGGTTTTGTTCTATTGATAAGAAAACCTCTTGTTTAAGTGGGAAGATGATGCTGACAATTAAAGACTCCATGAGATGGGGACAGGGATTAGGGAAAGGGAAGGAAAATTGGATGAGTGACATTACCAAAATACAAGTTGACTTATTAGCATTGTAGTAAGATCAGTTCATAACGATGGTTTACCAGAATTTACATAAAATTTACATAATTTATATAAAATATATTTATATAGGAGAGGGAGAAAAAGTTTTGAAAATCTTGAGAATAGGTTGAATGCAAAGGATTATCTGTTTCTATTGCCTTTTGTTCACTGCTGTATCCCTGAGGGGCTTAGAAGAGTCCCTGGTACATACATAGTTAATGCTCAATATATATTTATTGCATGAATAAATGAAACAAAATTCACATAACCTTTAAGGTACAAGACCCTAAATGGTGGTATATAAACTTAAACATTAAGAGAACAAAAAGGTAACTAACTTAATAGCAAAGGAAAGTGGAAGAAAAGGCTACTGCAGTGTAATTTTAGGCATAAACAATGTTTCTTCTTCCCCTTGCTTTGCATTAATAACAGTCACAGTACCAGTCTCCTGGGGCTTACATTATCAAGTTCAATGTTTCAAATTTGCCAGTCCTATTCAAAGTAACCATTCGCTAATGACACTATTAACACTCAACTACAATTTAAACTGCTTAATCAGGGTAGGATAGGGTATCTTCCAACTGTTAACCATAAAATTAATCTCTACAGCACCTCTAACTTCTGACAGGAAGTATAATGAATAAAGCAAATTTTAATCAAAGGTAAATAGGCATGTTCTGACATATACTGGGAGACAGTCACTGATACTGTGTGACTCAGTTATCTATATGTTGGGATAATGGGTTAAGCTCTTAAGAAGACCATAAAAAGAAAATAGAGATAAACCTGCACTGTGCCTTTAGGCACTCAAACACTTGTTCAATAAACAAAGACATTTATATCAAGAATTTTTTAAAAAAGAAATGAAAATTAAACACTTCACAAAAATGATACAAAGTATCACCAGTAGCTGTATTATGGTAATTTTACAGGGTGGGGAACAAAAATTCTTTCAGCCATTAAAAAAAAAAAATAAGCAAGAATTAGAACTAATTCTCTTCTGATTCAAATACAAAGCTTACGTAAAAATACTCAATGGTTTCAGACTTGAGAACACAACCTTCTTTAAAAAAAAAGTACACTATAAACATGCACAAGAAATTCATCCTTTGAACCCTACTTTAAGAAAGGCTTTAAATACATAGTTAAACCAATCAGTAAATTGCCCATTTTATCCCATTTCTAAAATAAGAAATTAAAAGATAAAATACGAAAAAATTTTTAAGTCATTACCTAATCCAATATCAAATACTTCCTGAATATATCGTTCTGAGAAAACCAAAGTAAAGAGATCCCATATATTTTGAAAATGTTCCCCATACAAACTCTCCTGAATGAGGAGAGGGAGGTTTTGGTAATGG